TGTAATTGTAATTGTACCAGTCAACAAAATAAATCCTTGATAATCTCCTTAAACAAAAAAGTGTTAAACGAAAATGAATTACAAGATTTGGATTCATGAGCTTCATCGTGATTACTTTGAGAATCTCCATCTCGCTTTTTGAGTCCAGGTTAGGCTGTATATGAGCTGCAAATCTCGTTTTGTCTATATTTTAATAACAAGTTATGAGAAATATTAATATATTGTTATGATATTTCACTATAATTTTCTCTTGTTTTGAGTGAAATGTAGAGAACGTAGAAGCGCAAACAGAATGTCTTGGACCATGTGGACTGTTTAGGAACTGTAATGCCGCTTGCATCAGTAAAGGACATGAACGTGGCCAATGTGTTGGCTGGGATGACCCTGATACTTGTTATTGCATCTAAATAAACTTCATAACTAATCATTGCATATTTAAATGTTTCGAAAAACTTTCACAACAATTAATAATATTTGGATCGAATAATGTCGTAAATCCTTCATGGTAACTTTGTAGATAGAAATTACGTCTTGATGGAAAACAAAGTAAAAAATCGAGAACACGCAAATAAAACAAGATGAATCAAATTAGTTCAAATGGGGTTGTAATAATGAAAGAGAAGCAATCTCACATAGGTCCGGTCCTGAGATTTATGAGGCCTAATACCAAATAAAAAATGAGGCCTACTAAAAATGCTAATCATAATGTTTAAATATATAAAAGCACAAATTTGTTAAGAAAAATTAGTAATTTGATAATTACGGGGTTTTTTTTATATTTTCCATAATTTAATACTTACCATTTTACTTATTTGCATATATAGTATGGCCCCCCCAATCACAATTCTAATATGTTTTTGACCTTTTCATGTTTACACACGTAAAATTTTAGTCAAAAAAATGTTTTCATCCATAGAGCATTTTGTATGCTAAGAAATGAGGATACTACTTACACATTCTCATACAGTTCTGAAGTCTTCTTTGCCAAGACATGAGAAGTCTTTTTCTTTCCCAAGATGTCCTCATACTCTTTAGTTCCCTTCCCAGCACGTTCAACCCCACTTACACTTCTGACAAGATAAAGATTTTACAATATGAATACAATAATATCATCAATGTTCTTCTTCTGAAAATCTGAAAACAAGTACAACAACTTACCCGGCATGAGAGCTCCTCTTCTTTGCCAAGACGTGAGAGGTGTTCTCAGAATATTTAGTTCCCCTGCCAGACAAGAGAAAGATTTTACAATCTACAAAAGCATAAACCATATTGATGTATTGCGTTTTTGACACATTCTGACCAAATGTTTTCAAATATTTTTCGAGTCTTTTCTATGTCTTTAGAGTCTTTTTAGGTAAAAAAAACGTTTTGATGAAGTCTAAGGCAAAGGAGCAAGGAATGGAAGCAAAAGTGCAGAAAATGGTCATAAGTTTAGTACTAGTTAAAACCCTTTACACCGATGGATCGACCTGAAAATTTGACACACGCTAGAGCATGTTATCTTTCATCTGGAAGAATTTGAGGTCATTCCAACGGTGCGATCGAAAGTTATAAAAGTTTTAGTGAAGACATGTTCGTATGGCGAGAAAAAAAAAAGCAAGATGACCAAATCGATCGTCCACCCTAGGATTGATCGATCCATTTATTTTCAGACTTTCGGTGGACCGACAGATCGACCAAGCTGCTTCTGACTGACCAATTATCATCGGATCAATCGATCACTTCATTAAACAGGCCAAAATTGGAAATTTTCAGTATTTTCTTATTTCGACTTGGTTTTGCCAGAGAGGTTGAACCAGAACGAGTTTGACCTATTTATTTTGTGTTTTTAGCCATTGTTGATGCTACATTTTTTTTTCATTGAGACTTTTGGCTTTTGCAATTTGTAAGCTCTATGGAGACGATTTCGACTCTACATCTGAGAAATTTCTAAATACTTTTTCATTTCTATTCAATTGATTATGATTTTATTTATCTCTCTGTGTTTTCTCTACCCTTTTTCAATTGATTATGTGTTTTCTCTGCATGTCTAAATAATCTCTTAGTTAGGTTTTATGGTTTCAAAAGAATCTATGAATCAGATACAACATTCACTTCCTTTAGTTCTCAATCCAATCACACTACTTTAGTATTTAAAGATTACTAAAGCAAGATAATGACTAAGAAACAACTTTATATCAATGGAGGAGAATTATACAACTTTATATTACACTTGAAACCGTTTAAATTAGGCCTCCACATCCAATAGGATGTGTATATCGCAATAACCCC